CGTGGACTACAGCCCACTTCTTCAGATGCATATAGAATGGAACATATATTGAGGAGATATATATACACACATACAGAGAGCATAAACAGGTGGGAGTTGTCTTACCAACTCTGAGAGGCCAATTAAGTAAGAGAAAAAAAACTTTTGAAGTGATAATCAAGATAGCCCAGTACAGACAGTTTGATAACACGACTGCTACTCTGAAACCTGTCATAAAATGCTGCAGAGAGTATTTATATGTACTTTAAAAATCTTTTATTTTAGTCAGAAATTATTGATTTGAACCGAGAACATGATATGCAAACACCTGCATAGTAGCATTACTAAAATATTCTAAACCTACTAAAATAAGGGTGTGTTCAGGTTATAGGTCAACCAAGCAAATAGCATCCAGGAACACAAAATGTTTGCAAAACTGGACATAGGCAATTCACTTAGACTCCCAATCTGATACCGTGGCATTAGCAATCACCAGAGTTGCTTGAACTCCCTACTGTAAATAGGAAGGGACAGATGGCAGAACATTCTCTGACAGGAGTCCTTAAATTAGAAATTAATGCCCTTCATCCAACTGTGTCCGGACTTGGTAATCTTCTTAACACACTGCAAGACTCACCTATTTTCCTGGGCTTTTTCCAGGGAAGGGGATTTATTAAGTGAAGCTTGTTCTGAGTGTAGCAGAAAATTTAAGAGCTATGGTATTATGGGGTTGTTTTTACTGCATTTTAGTGTGTTTTGGGTTAAATTTTGTGGCCCTGATTCTGGGTTTCACCATGGCCTCCATAAACCAGCTCTGGCATTAAGCTGGAAAACTCTCTTCTGAGGATTCCAGCGTAAATCAGGGATATTCCCAAGTGGTGCAGGGCCATTCTCCCACCCCTGTATCTCCCTGTCACAGATAGCATGCCAGAGGTGTAGCTAGGAGTTAAATGAGTTGTGTCGGGGGTGGAATAGATGTGTACAGAAAGATGCTCACAAGATTTATAGAGAAAACCTCATAGATATAAATGGAATTTAGGAGGTCTCCATAGGCAGCTGCTGCTCAGCACCCATCATGCAACCCAGTAATACAAAAAGATGAATTCTAGTCTGCTTATATTTATTTGTTAATTTATTTAGATTTATCTCCAGCTGTACCTATCAAAATTCTCTAGGTGCTGAGCAGCAGTTAAAAGCACAAAGGCCCAATTCTGAGTTTAGCTTGGCAGAATTCGGGATGCAACAGGTGGCTGTATGCCATTTTGGTCCCTCGTCTAAATTATAACAGTTGCTGGGGCTGCTCTAGATTTATGCTTTCCTGCAGTGACACTCTGTGGGTTGTTATAAAAGCCCAAATAACTGCCATCTCCTAGCTGGGTGACAAACTCTTTTACTGTACCACTCTTTCTATTGAGTTAAAGTGAAACCTCAGGATCTCCCTGGATATTGTCATTTTCAAAGCATAGAACTATGTTCCATTGGCAGCCCCCGATCAAATCCCAATTGATGTGGTTCCATGTGTTAATCAAGGGGAAAAAATATGGCCAAGAGAGATAATATTTTTGTCATTGTTTGCTCTGCCTAAATTGTAGTTCTTGGGAATTGTTCAGATGGCATGAGTTACCAAGGGAAAAGGAGAGCAAACAGAGTGCAGGACAGGACCTGTTCATGCTGTTCTGAACTGGTGCTTATCCTTTGATCTGGCCTTAATAAACTGACATGAATAGTTCATTACTCAGACAGGAGTTTGGTATTAAAAGAGGGGGAAAATGTGAGCCATGTGCAAATGTCCAACATCACTTAAATAGGGCAGACATTGCTGCAAGAATTTATTAGAACAGATCTAGTAACCACTAACTACCAAGAGATGTTTGTCACTCTCCCTTCTTACCTCAAGAAAAGCACTATGAAGGCTAACTCAGGAAAAATGTCACGCTGTGGTTGTGTTTTATTTTGTAACAACCTAGCATGCTCTCGTTTATGATAATATTCCCATGAGGAAACCTTTATTTCTGCTTTGCTTCACTCTGAGAAGAACAGAACACATCACTGAAATGTCCTTTATTTTTCTGCATTGATGGAATTCCTTTCTTTTCACAGGTCGATTTTGGATTTGCAAAGAAAATAGGATTTGGAAAAAAAACATGGACTTTTTGTGGAACTCCAGAATATGTAGCCCCAGAGATCATCCTGAACAAAGGTCATGACATTTCAGCAGACTACTGGTCACTGGGAATCTTAATGTATGAACTCTTGACTGGCAGGTATGGGCATTGCAACTGGAACTGCTGATAAAAATAGATCAGCAAATTACAGAATATTTCTGCCTTTGTCACTTTGATTAGAACACTGGAAGACTCGTAGGTCATCATCACAGATGCCAGCTCTAACACTCTGAAAACTTTACTGTTAAACCTAATCATTATTACTTTTCCTGTTTCATTACAGCCTGCTTTCATGCAGAGCTCTCAAATGACAAGGAATTTTGTCACTAGGCAGTTTACAACTTTATCATGAAACACATGTAAAATTATACCCAGCTCTGGCCCTGTCTGATCCCTGTCCCTTAAAGCTAACTTCCTCCTATGGGCCAGGACACAGGGATGCCCAGCAATTTGTGTTTCTTAGCTACTCTGAGTCAACAGCTAATGTTACTTCCATTCCTCGCTGAGAACAGCTCATTGGTGGCACGAAGGACAGCATGTGCCAGAAAAGTTATAATACACAAGCTTTAATATTTCATATTGTGTGGGTCATACACTACTCCTCCTTTGCCTACCGCCTACCGTCAATAGGAGTTACACACACGGAGAGTTGAGCCATTAACACTGAAATAATGCAGCTTTTTCAAATGAGAGTCTCAAGCAGGTAATAGCTTGAGAATGTGCAGATATATAGGTATAGCCCAGTTATAGTTATCTAGTGTATTCTGCAGAATCATTTGAACAAGTTTAAAAATGTTTACTTTAGTATCTGTTTTATACATAAAAAGTTACTAATATTTCCATTATTCAGAAATTTATTAGAATGTTTCCATTTACACAGAGTTCCCTAAAGGATCTAAAAAAACTTATTAAAAACAACAGCAATGAATCATGTTTGGGATAGAAGATGCAGAACAGACTCAACAAGCTAGGTACCAAGTCAGTATTACCATCAGAGATTCTCGAGAGTAAAGTCCATGAACTATGACAAATGGTCAAAATTAAGTTTCCATTAAAATCTATAAATAAGATAATTAAAAGGGCGTACCCAGACTCCACTTTAAATGGTACAATTTCTAAGCCCTATGGGCACTCAGAACTGAAAATACACCCCATCAACACTTGTTGCTAAAAAAAACTGCATCTTTTCAGAGCTGGCAGGATGCATATTGGAGAGCCTGCTGTATTCGCCTTTGTCCTCCACTGGCATTTTTATATATGGAGATATACCGATCTCATAGAGCTGGAAGGAACCCTGAAAGGTCATCAAGTCCAGCCTCTGCCTTCACTAGCAGGACCATGTACTGATTTTTCCCCAGATCCTTAAGTGCCCCCCCTCAAGAATTGAACTCACAACCCTGGGTTTAGCAGGCTAATGCTCAAACCACTGAGCTATCCCACCCAAATCTATATCAACATCATGGCTATACTCTACCCTTATTTTTCCGCAGCATTCCTAATGAGAAAGATGGAGCTGAATTTGCTGGGGGTGAGGGGTGAGGAGAGAGGTTTGCAATTCAGCCAGTGAGGTGCTAGGGCAGTGGAAGCCAGCAGCATCTGAAAGAGTGGGCAGACCTAATGTGGTACAGCATCTTCAGTTTTTTCCTATTATAGGCAACAGTTTACAACAAAATGACACATGAAGGTTGTCACCTCTTGCCTGTACTCATTAAGCATTTCTCAAGGCATCAGTGCTTGAAGGGCGCCCCTGGCACTGCTGCCTCAGCTCTCCAGCACACAAGGCAGCAATGCCAAGGGAGCTGAGTGTGTCCGCACTGAGGCATCAAATCATCAAGCGCAACCTATGTTCAGAGTTCAGTGATGCTCCTTAGTTGTTCAGGAGGAGGTTTGAGATATATGGCAGGACCCTGCCGCAGGCTGAAATCATGGAGATCTTTGGAAGTCACAGATTCTGTGACAAACTTGTAGCCTTATACATGGCCAGTGAGGTTGGAAAATACTCATAATATGCAGGAAACATGAAGATCACTTTCCCATGGCACCAGTTTTGAACTAATATGGCATCTTAGAATCACATACCACCCTCAGTCTATGTGTTAAATCCCCACTAGCCTACATAGTGTTCTTGCACTCACATTAAGGGTATCCTTTAACATTGTTATCTATGTTGCACTTATTTATCCACCAATGTAGGTCCTTTTAAAATATCACAAAGCTATTTGAACCAATTTTTGAAACTGAATTTCACACATACTTTATGTAAACATATATCTCCATGTCAGTTCTAAATTTTGTTACCTGTCACTTTTCAATGCTTTCAGTGCTCTACCTGTCACTTTTCAATGCTCTAGTCGGCAATGTTCGGCACGCGGCTCGCCAGGGTAAGCACCCTGGCGGGCCGGGCCAGTTTTATTTACCTGCTGATGCGGCAGGTTCGGCCGATTGCGGCCCCCACTGGCCGCGGTCCGCCGTCCCGGGCCAATGGGGGCGACGAGAAGCCGCAGCCAGCACATCGCTCGCCCGCGCCACTTCTCGCCATCCTCATTGGCCCGGGACGGCGAACCGCAGCCAGTGGGGGCCGCAATCGGCCGAACCTGCCGCGTCAGCAGGTAAATAAAACTGGCCCGCCAGAGTGCTTACCCTGGCGAGCCGCGTGCCGAACGTTGCCGACCCCTGCTCCAGATATAGCATTATAGACAAGAAGCAGCTAGCAATTGTTTCATCTTAACTAGACCATTCTTTACTGGGAATATATCTATCAGGTCTACCCTTATTCTTGCTCACTCCAAATTAAGCCTATCCAAGTTTCTTTTTCAGTCCTCATGTAAAAACTTTAAATTCAAAGCAATATAACAAATTTGAATCTTACTTTTGGCCACTGAACTTTTATAAAGAACATATTCATTTTTAAATACATTGATATTTTCTTACATAACACATGTCCTATAAAAATATTCACACCTTAAATATACAATAACTTAAAAATCTATGCAGAACTACATAATATTTCACAATATTACATGTTTACAGTTTTTAAATATTAAGTATTTTAAATATCCCTAGATGACTGTACATCAGAGGAATACATACATTTAGTCTTATAAACTACTCTTGCTGAAGGTACAGAAATTTGTGTACAATGTCTCATTACTCAAGGTCTTGCTACTGAAAATACTATTCCCATATATTTCTTTGATGGCTGTTTAATGTAACTTCAAAATTAATTTACAAAAACCTCTGTATTAAATAATTTCAAAACACACAAAATCTTTCAGATTTGTACTAGCTTTTGAACAAAATTCTGCAATTTCTTCTACCTTTCCAAACCATATGCGGTCTGTTGTTCAATTATAAATTATAGTCATTCATTTTTTATGTGATGCATAATTTGTGCTGAAAATGTCATCCTGTGTTTGAATATACTGATAAAATATTTCTTTCAACATATCAAACCCTAATCTTCCCTTAAATAATGTGTATTAATTCTGCATTCCACATAACTCTTAGCCACTGCAATTATCTCTCATAATTACCAATTAAAAACTACATCTATTAGAAACTTTTTTAGACATTAGTGGAGTGTTACCATTTTTCTATTTTACTGATTTATTTGTATTTATTATTGAATTGAAGCTCTTTGTTTATTTCACAAAACTGCAATCAAATAATATTTAAGGGACAAATCCTGGTCTGCTGCACAAAGCTCAAGTAATGGACTTTCCACCTGGGCTATCCATGGGGGTTGGAAGGAGCAGAATCATATCATCAGGGGCTGTAGAACTATCTGCTGCCCATGTTCACCTTCTATGCAATGATTTTATCCAGAGGATCCACACAGTGACAAACACACTGGCTATACACCCAGCCTCCCCAGCTACAGAGAAAGACACCAAGGATCATAGGGCCCTGGACTGTCCTCACCATAGCTTTGTTATATTTATCAAAAATACACAATAGCTTCATTATGCCCTTTTCTTCATAAAGTTCCAAAATAGGATGGATATTGTTTGTTATATTGATACTTGTCCAAATTTATCATGCATAATAGTCTAAAGATGTGCAAATAAGTTAGAAAAGACTCTTTGAGAATATAGATTGTACAACACTTCCGTTTGCTAGCTCTATAAAATGCTTTTTTTCTGTAGGATAGTGAAAATTTAACTGTCAAGATGGGTCTGAATCTACCACTGGTGTTGGATGAATTTCCCCCACGAGACAGGGCTAGATTGTGACTTTAGGCACAGCCCTACGTGGTACGTAAACTGCACTAACCTTGGGAAATATTGTCACTCAGCGAGACACAGCAGGGAGTCACAGCTTCTTTCTTGTTCTTGGGGGTAATAAGCCAGCAGTAAATTACTTCTCACATTGTGCTGGTTCAGCTATTCTGGCTATTGAGCAAGTGGTCTAACTTTTTCTCGCCCCTTCTCCACTTGCTTCTGGTAGGGAGGAAGCAAGTGAGTTAACCCCACTTACTCCCAAGACCTGAGTAACCTGCATTAAGGTGTAAGAGGGGATTTCTCACTCTCTTGTATGGGTTTGTTGTCCAAGTCACAATCTAGCCCAAAGTGAGCAACCTGTACCATCCATATTTAAGGGCATTTTGTTCACCTATCTCTGTACTCTGACATGTATTTGTGCTTTTAAACGAGAGAGTATTTATTCCATCCTCTATCCAGGGCTGTTTGAAAAGCACTTATATAATAAGTCTAGTACAAAAGTAAATCAGGAAACAGGGGACCTGAAATCAGGACTGAGTCCAGCCCCTTGCTTCTTAGGTTGGCAGCTCATGGGATCACGGCTGAAACAAAACGTTTAGCCCATTCAGAAGAAGGCCTGCCTTAAATCGCTCGTTAATGCCCTCTCCTGGCCAACCCTTGGAGCAACATTGATGAAGTCCAGACAAAACCATGCCCAGAACTCCTTGGCCGTAGAAAGGATTACCATGGCATGGACTTTGGAGATGGAAGGAAGCATCCTGGAGAACTTCCTAAAGGATATAAAATAAAATGTTAATAGTCCAGACTTTCAATTTTCCTGAGAGCACAGGATGAGAAATATTATCACTTCTGTAATTTATCTCCTCTGATTTGTTATATAATAGGATGGTATGAGATTTATTTTTTAAAGACAGACCTTTAACTTTCACTTTCCCCCCCCTCCTCCCACTTCCTAAAGTCCACCTTTCTCAGGCCCAGATCCCATGAAGACCTATAACATCATATTAAGGGGGATTGACATGATTGAATTTCCAAAGAAGATTGCCAAAAATGCTGCTAATTTAATTAAAAAACTATGCAGGTAAATACTTTAAATACAATAACCTTTATCTTATGAGTAAAGAAATAAGTCCTTCTGAAAAAACATTATTAAACAACTCTGTCACTCTCTTTATAGGGACAATCCATCAGAAAGATTAGGGAACTTGAAAAATGGAGTAAAAGATATCCAAAAGCACAAGTAAGTGTGTTTTACAACTATCAATTACTTTCAAATGGAAAAATTGTTCATTTCAGACACAAAACACTTTTCATAACAGTTCTCTTCTAACTTGTTCTTTGGATGTTAGGTTATTTTACATTACCGTATGTCAGCAGTATTTTCATATTTTGGAGTCTATTCTATCCTTCCTTACGTGGCATATAGGGTGGTATGTTGAGTGAAAGAGCGTTTTTACTTAAATTTGCATCCAAATGGCATTTTGCAATATGGAAAATTAAGTCACCATCAATTTATTTTTAACCCCCTTGTATATGCCACCAGTTTCCAGTCATCTTTTGCTTTTTAACTGTGCCTCTGCCCCAGGGTTAAGACTGTACTTCCTGTTGATCCTATTCCATTGGCACTGATAGTATAGAGCCTCTGATTGATATTTCACTTGCTCTTCTTGGTTTCAGTAGTTCAGTGCAGTCTCCACTCTGCTTGACATATAAATAACAGGTAAAACAGAGCATGGAGTGCCCAGCACCTATTGGAGGGAAAGATTTTGCTTTTCCACTCTGCCCTGTGGACGTGGTGTGAGTCTTTCATGGCTTCCTCCTTGCTCCAGGAGGGTAGCCCCATAGACTGTTCTCCCCCACCTCATCCCCAATCAGTTTAGCTGTGCTGGCCAGTATTTCTGGTGGTGGAGCCAAGACTCTATCCACTCTCTGCTTAACTGTTTGAGCAACCCCTTACTCCTATGCAACCTGACCCAAGGTCTGTGGAGGCCACATAAAGGCATGGGGGCAGTGCTGTGCTACTTTCCCTTATAATCTGTGCAGGCCTGCAACCTGAGCTACAGTCTGGCTCAGAGGATCTGAATAAAGAACCTTGGGAGTGTGGGACCCACAAAGACCTTGCAGGAGATAAGAAGAAGCTGTCAGGACACCTGTAGTGAAGACTGGCTAGGTCACACCCTTAGCAGTCAGGAGGATGTCACCTAGTGCAATTTTCAAATCATGTGTAACTTACACCACCCTTTATATCACCATGAGATTTCTGCACATATTTTAGTCTGAATAAAGAAAATCTTCAAAAATGTATTTAATAAAATCAACAGAAAAATGACAACTATAAATCAGAAGAAAGTGCCTACAGAAATTAAAAATCTGTTTTGTGTATTACAGTGATATTTCAGCTGTATATCTAACATCTTGATTTGTCCTAACATTATCCCCTTTCTAGATGGTTTGAGGGCTTTAACTGGGAAGGGTTAAGAAAAGGCACATTGACACCTCCTATAGTACCAAGTGTAAGTACACTTCTTACTTCTGTCCTTGCCGGTCAATCAGGAATAGTTTGCTTTGTGTCATTTGTGTAAAGTTCCAGTATGCCTACACCTTAGTAAAGGTAATAGTAGCATGTAGCAAAACTTGTCTGAAGATACTTGCCAAAGACCAGTAAAAAAAAATAGATCACTTACGACAGATTTTCTTTTATTAACGTCAAATACATTTTGTCTTGTGGCCGAGTCTTCATCAGGAGGCCCTGTGATGAAATGTTCTTTCCAGCAGCTGAAGTGGTGTGGCCAATGGGAGCTGCTGGAAGCAGCGCGGGCCGAGGGATGTACTGGCCGCCGCTTCCAGCAGCTCCCATTGGCCTGGAGCGAACCGCGGCAAGTAAACAAACCGGCCCCGCCTGCCAGGTGCTTTCCCTACACAAGCGGCATCTCAAGTTTGGGAAACACTGCTTTATTTTGTAGTCCTTAGATTGTGTCAATGCACCCTCCAGATGCTACACTTCAAATAGGGTTGCCAGTATTGGCTGGATGTATTCCTGGAGGTTTCTTTGCATGACATAATCTGTAATTAAAGATTGATCTTTAATTCCTGGAAACTCCAGGCCAATCCTGGAGGTTGGCAACCCTAACTTTAAATCAACCTGGAAATTGATGCTGGTGCAAAATGTAGCAGGCTGCTTAGCAATCCGTTTTTTGGGAGCACAGTGTCCTGGGATCTGTATTGGCTACCTCTTATTTTCCAGGCAGAATACAAGTATTGGCTTTGCTTTAGAAATAGCTTGGAACCTGCGCTATTAAGAGACAACCCCTCTCCCCATGCCATACCACCTCAATTGCATCAGTTGAGATACTTAAAATGGCTCTCCTTTCCTATCAAAGAAGGGGAGCTGTCATTGTGAACTTCTTTGGTGGGCCCTGAGCTTTATAATTCACCTCCTCTGTGGTTTAAAATTGGCCTGTCTGTTGGCATACAGGGCATGCTGCAAGGTCCATCTTTTTTACACTAGATTTTTTGTATGGGAAGAGAATGATAACTTGCATTTGTGGGTGTGGTTGGACACTGTTGATATGCTTTGATTTTATGGGTATGATGAAGTACTCTGGGGGGTCTTATCTGATGTTACATCTTTGGTTATTTTCTTGATCTGAGGAAACCACTGGATTTTTTTGCACAACCATAGTTTTTTACATCAAATGCACACAAAGATCAGCATAGTCATTTTTTAATTTTTGTTATACATTTTTTTAGAAAACCTAAATAAATACCCTAGCATTGACAATATTGCCAAGGGGCAAATGTATTTGCTCTCCCTTTTCTTTGAAAGCTTTTACTAGTCATATTTAACTAGTAAGCTTTTCCACAGATAAAATGTTTTAGGTTTGTGAATGATGTTGAAAGAGCATTGTTTTGAGACAGGAAAAATGGTCTTTCTAAAGGTCCGAAATAGAGATTTTCTTAAAATCAAAAGCAACTGATGCAAACACATTAACTGTTCATTTGATAGGTTGCATCTCCGACGGACACAAGCAATTTCGACAGTTTCCCTGAGGACAATGATGAACCGCCACCTGATGACAACTCAGGATGGGATATAGACTTTTAATGTATTTCTCTTACCTGCTTCTGCCTTGCTGAAGACAGCTTCCTGAGACATGGCTGCCAGCAAAACTGAAGGAATTGGGGAGGATTAGTGCTCGGGGTCACCATGATGCCTTGATTGATGCTGCTACAGTAACTACAGTGGCATTAGGACTTATTGCTTAGATGACAATAGTGCTCTTCACATGTTTTATGTTTGAACTTATAATAGCAGTTGACATGGTGGTCCTGAAGCAAGCCTTTTCACCAGTAAAGAAATATGTTTTCTATCACTGCAATTATCTTGCTATGCTCTAATTATAATTTGAAAGATAATAGTGTAAGATACTCTTAAAGCCAGTATTTTACAGCTAGAATTATCAGTAGGATCAAATAGTAACTTATTATGTACTATAGTTATCTATGGTACAGAATGTGGGGTACTCCCACACTTCAGAGTGAGTTTGTAGGGTCTTTTACTACAGGCCAGTGTGAATACAAAGGAGGACCACAAAACTATAGGTCAATGAGTTCATGTCAGAGCAGTGCTAAAAGTTGTCTTTTTTTCAAGCAGTATTCATGACAAGACTGAATGTTACCTTTCCTTTTTCTTTCTGACAGATTTTTTAAACTGATACAACAAAAGCACAACTGCTACAGATTCTGTTGAGAACTGTTAAGGCAGGTATGGGTCGGTTTTCGCATACAACTGAGAACATGATGTAACTAACATCTTTATTTTTCTTTTGGTACAATAAATATTTGCATGAAAAAATCATAATTATTCATTCTACATATTTAAAAAAAACTGTGCTTAAATAACGGTCCTAGAAATAGAATGACAACAACCAACTGGTCTTATTAATTATTAGAAATAAAGACTGATCTTAAAATAACCCTTAGCTTTTAGAACCCAAGGAGGAAAATCTCAGACCCATAACATACTGTATAGGTGCTATGTACGTCTTTCATCTGTGAATATAAATGTTCAGCAGTCAATAAACATTTCAGAGATATGTAGCAAGAGACATCATCTTTAGTGATGCTCTAAAAACAGAGAATCCTTTAAGTCTCCGCATTTGCATCTTCTCTGCTTTCACTCTGCAGTATTTGGGAGCCATCATAGTATTCTTACTTTTCCTGCTTCTTTAAAAATATATCAATACCGAGGCAGTTTGCAGATGACCTGGCTGTATTTTTTATCACTATATTTCAAAATGTAAATAAACCAATGTTTTCGGTTACAATACAGTATTATAACAATGAATCCTAATACTCTGCCTGGAATAATGGATGGGATTCTGATGGGATCCACATAAATGGAAAACTAATGTGAGAACAACACAGGTCTACTGTATTTGTGTGAGATCTGCTGGCACATATATTTGCAGTACACAGACACTTCAGTGATTATCCTGAGGTGCTGCAACGGCTACTATCCTGAGGTGCTGCAACAACTACAGCACAAACTGCTATAAAAAAGAGAGGGGAAAAGGATACTATAGGCCTGAATTCTTTTCTCACTTACTTCAACTGCTTTTACATCACTGTAACTCCAGGACATCAATGGAGTCACTCCTGATTTACAATGATGTGAGAAAAAAAAAATCAAACCTTATTTGCCAACTAATCAGAGATGTGTTAGATTGAATGTAAGTTTACCCCCTCACACTTATAAGAGGCACTAGTTTTCAGAACTTGCAGTAGATTTTACCAGGGCCCCATTATATTAATTCGAGCAGTATATGATGCCACATCTGATTATACCATGTTATATAGAGTCAAAATATGTGACTTAATTTGTTGTGCTCCAACGCATTTATATATATATATAAAAGCCACTAAAAGATCAACATTTCCCACATTTGGTACCACACAGTTATTATGGGTATCTCCTGTTCTAAATTTATGGGAAGACTATGGTAATCCTAAATAACTGTGCAGTAACAGTTAGCAGATGTTAAGTTTTTTGTGGTGACCACTGTACATTAGCATATTAATGGCATACATGATTTTTCAAAGCATGGGAAACTAGGATCTGATCTTATCCCATTGAAATCAACAAAAGTTTCACTACTGACTTCAACAGGAGTAGGCCCCTAGTTAAGATATTGTGGCATTTTTGTCTTTACCCTTAAATACAGGAGAGGCAAATAGTAGGGGATTTATCAATAATAGAATGCCTACCATGAATACATTTTAGCAGCTTTTCATATTCATAAGGACATTGGTTTAATAGAGCATTTTAAAGATAACATTGTCAAATAAGTAGAATAATGAATATACCAACATCATATCTACAATTTGCCAGCAGACTAGAAAGCCTGACTTACCACAGTTCCCTTTAACTAATCTATTTCATTTATTTCACAAGGTTTCAGAGTAGCAGCCGTGTTAGTCTGTATCCGCAAAAAGAAGAACAGGAGGACTTGTGGCACCTTAGAGACTAACAAATTTATTAGAGCATAAGCTTTCGTGGACTATAGCCCACTTCTTCGGATGCATCCGAAGAAGTGGGCTATAGTCCAC